TTTATTGTGCTGAAAATGTGAACCATTTTTATAGCTAATTTAGCAATCTTGTTCGGCATTTCTTTCTCCTCTGACCATATAAGTAAGACTGTTCTTCAACAGCTTCTCAAACCAACTCTTTTCTTACCTGCTTGTTCCTTCATAATTAATTAAAACCTTTATACCGTAACATCTTTCTTTGTTGACAGTAACTACACTAGTTGGGGTGAGAACTTAAATAACGTATGTAACAGTTGAATCACTATGTTGTATCTGTGAAACCAATGTAATATTACATATCAACTATACTTCAATTTAAAAAATCAAAATTCTTACAACAATGACAGTTAAAAAGAAACATTTACATGTACTAACAAATTTACCTAGGAATTTTGCCTTTTTGTTCACAGACAAGTCTCTGGAAGGACATGCACAAAAGAATATTGGACAGTGGTCATTTTGGGGGATGGAAGTAGGAAATTTAATTTTTACATTTCTGTATTACTTTTGTATTTTAAAAGCCCCAATTTAAAATATTGTGACCAAGTAAAAGCAAAGAAAACAATGTATGTAACATGAACTCTGTGTTTACCACTACAGAAATAATTTCTCAAACTATGGGACCTCTTTTCCTTGGGAAAATATGTAATCATTAAAACTATGTGAAGGTTATGTTTTAAAATGTAAAACTATTTTTAAAAACTATGCACAGAAAAGAAATTATGTGAGGAAAAACACCAATTAATGATAGTCATTTTGGGGAAATAGGCTACTAAAATATTTTATTTTTCAGTAGTTTTCTCATTGTCTAGTTAAGAATATATTATTTTTATAATGAGGAAAATGTTCATACAAACAAAACATAGCATGTTTCAGCATGCCCTGATTCTTTTCTTTGAGGATGTGTGATGCAATAAAAAATAGGTTGGCCTCCTGTGGCTTTTACAGAAACTTTTAGTTTGTGTTCCCTCCCACACCTAAGAATTTTACCTTACATTACGAATATCTGATAGTTGGCTTTTTTTAAAGGAGGACAAGTTAACCTTTAAATTGGTTAGAGTTTTGATTAAGAAGATACTTCTGTATTGTGTTGTTAAAGGAACTTCTTCAGATAGTGTATCTATTTGGAAAACATTCCTTTTAATTTAGATATCTACCCTGTTAGGTTTATAAGGGGGATATGTGAATTAAACTAACAAAAGATAGATTAACAGGAGAAAAAGTATTTGATTTTTTTTTTGTTTAATGTGCTCAGGAGTTCACAGAAAAGAAGTGAAAATTGAAGAAGCAGAGTTTATATACCCTTTTAACAAAAGAAAGGTGGTTTGGGCTTCAAGGGACAAAAACTGCTAGGAAGAGAAACTAATAGAAGATAAGGGTTATTTTAGCCAGGTTTCATATATGCAAACTCATCTTTTTGGCTCCCTGTCTAAAAATAAGGGTCACTCGTCTCTCCCTAGTGTTGGTAGTGGCTGTCGGTGGTGGGGTGATTCTTAATGCCTTCAATTCAAAATAAACCTTATTCCAAAGTGGCATATTTTGGGATGGTATATTCTTAACCCTTTCAAACAAAAGTGAGTAAAGCCAAAATACCGACGGGGTAAAAGCTCACCATTCTATGCAAAGAAGTCATTGCTGTGCATAATTTTATGCTCTTTGGGGAAGCACGACAACACAGGGGGTTATAAGCAGGACCTCTCAATTGCTCAGCTTTTTGTATCCTAGCAGTGCGCCCTTGGGCAAATTTATTAATCTCTTTGAACTCACTTTCTTCACCTGTAAAATAGTGTTGTGGTAAAGATCAAATGAGATAAGGCACACTTAGCAAAATGTCTGGCGCATAGCAAACAATAAATGCCACAAAATATGATTTTATGTTCCTCTTTAGATGTTTATTCCATAAGTGTGCTGACTCCTTGTAGTAGGCAGAGTTTGATTTGAGCAGAAACACTATCAATAACAGAATAAGGCGTTTATCATAGGCATCACCCCTTAGACAGTTACGGTAGCTGGTTGAGAAGTCAGTGCAAGTCTGTAGCCCGGTTTTGTGTAGGACCTCAAGTCCTCCAGGTTGACCATCAGGGAAGCCTGATGTGAAGTAAGGACGAGCAAGAACTGGAATCCATGTGGAGGAACTGGACACTACAAGGACAAACCATGTCGTTGCGTGACCCCCAGGAGAAGCTGGTGCGCTTCACCATGGAGCCACCATGCTCCTGGGCTAGGAAAGGCGGAAGGAGGAGATATGGGATCTTTCTGAGGAACTATGAAATGGATAGCACTGTACCCCACAAGGTAAGTTAGCAGATCAACAACATATGCTCACTATAACAATGCCTGGCACCCTATACTGACTTTCGCTGGGGAAAACAAAGATAGCTGTTTCACTTAGGCCTTCCAAAATGTGCTCACATTTCTCCTGTGCCCAACTCTAACTCAGATCATGCAGGGAAAGAAATTCTGGGAAAATTAGTTTGCATTTAGCTAAGTTGACATATAACAAAGCCTTCATACTCCTTGTATTGCTTATCATCCGGCTTTCTTTAGTCTGAAATGGAAACCTCAAGGAAAAAAACACACCACAGAATTCAGATTTTTACAGCCCAGCTCTTGTTTTGAAATATTAGGCCTTATAATAGCAAAAAGTTACCTTCTGTGTTCTGTTTGATGGATTTGTAGTTGAGAAAACAAATATAATTTTCTTGGTAACATGTAATTTCAAATGAATTATGTACCATTACCACACAGAAATGTGTTTGGGAAAGGACTTTCAAACTCTGCAGACTTGGGCTCTGGGAGGGGATTGGTTCCAAGCAAATCTCAGCGGGTTGGGATAGCATGTTCAGTTTGATATCCTCTTTGCTTGGTCTTCAAATAGCACCATCTACAGAGAGCTTTAAATATGGATCATCTAAAGCAGTTTCAAAGAAGTCAGTGAGACAGGTGAAAATTCCCAAATAAGCACATGACGGTTATGAACTTTGCCTTCCTTTGAATGAGGAAGAACAGTGGGGGGAATCTAAAGTGTTTCTGCAATGAATAAAATATGTGCAGGGAGAGAGGAGATGCCTTTTAAGGATGTCAATCTGGAGGAAGAAAAATGTTAATTCTTTTCTTTCAAGAATAATGGTCTAAACAGCACTGAGGACTGTTAGGGGGAAAGACAGACATGAGCAGGTGGAGGGAGAATAAGGCCAGTGGAGTCCACTGAAAGGGACTCAGAGAGTTCCCCAGATAAAACCAGAGACCCAGAAAAGACTCAGAGTTAATTAGTTGATGTTTCAAGGACCAGGAGTTACTTGGAATGTCCAACCTTCCCCAGATGAAAAATAACTCCCAGGTGAGAAGCTTCTAAGCACAGACACTCCACAGATAAAGAAAATATCAGAGGACAGGCATAGAAACCATCAGAGCACAGCCCCTGTCTCCATTTCACCAATTAGACCAGGCCTCTAAAGCCAATGAACATTCCAGGACTTCTCCGCCCTACCAAAAACCCCATAAAAGAAGCCTCACAGGAAACTTCCTGTACCTGTCTGACCTTGTAAGAACAGAAATAGGTTAGCATAAGAGTAGCCATCTTAAGGGCCTAGAAACCATTTCCTGAGTGTGTGTTAAAAAGAAAAACTGAAACTGGGTAAGGCCTTGAAAAACAAGTTAATCAATCATGAGCACTGGAATCAGGCAGCGGTGACCCCTGGTCAGCTGGCCTTGGTCAGTTAATCCTACATACCAAGCTTATCATGCAGAACCGCCCTGAAAATTGAGGAGTGGTCTTATCTTGCTCCTGCCTAACCCCAGGATGTATGTCTTGCAGGAATAATGTGTAGCTGTGGAAAATTACTATGAGTTAAGTGCTTTGAAAATGCTATATAAACCCTTGGCTTTGAGTGCTCGGGGTCCTTGTTGAAACCTGTATGAGGCAGACACTTGGACCCCAGCTAGCTGGAATAATAATAAACCTCTTGCTTGTTGCATCGATCTGCCATGGCCTTTGTCTCCTCACGGGGCAGGGGGGGCGGGTGTGTGGAGCGCAGACCAGAATAAGGCCGTTGGGTCTTACAACCTTAGGCAGGCCTGCTCTGCTGTACAGGGTGAAATAAAATTTACTTTGTCTTCTTAACTTTGGTTTCATGTCTCAGTCTGACTTCCCTGTGTCTCCAAACCGACTTTCTGCCCAACAGGACCGCAAGGTTAGATGGAGATGCTAAGGCTAAGTTAATAGAGTGGCAGCTGCTGCCGCTACACCCAGACAAGGGGGTGGGCTTTTGCTATGGGGTCCAATATAATCAAATGGGTCTCTGATGTCCACTGCACTGTTGTTAGACTTCTAGAGTTGTCCTGATTTTTTATATACAAATAGGAAGAAAAATGTATGATGATTAGGGAGTCCAATCAGTGAGTCTTTTCCGGACAGAGACCCAGGTGTGTCTACTAATTAAGATCATATTGTAAGAATGGGTTAGCATGAGAACAGCCATCTTAAGGGCCGAGAAGCCATTTTCTGAGTGCGTGACCCGGGGGAGGAGGAACTGGGTAAGGCTTGAGAAACAGGTTTTGAAGAACAAGTTAATCATGGACACCCGGTTGTGGGTGGTTGCGACCCTGGTCAGCTTATCTTGCAAAACCACTCTGCCTAAGGAGTGGTCTTATCTTGTTCTTGCTTAACCCCCAGGATGTGTGACTTGAAAAAAATAAAAAGTAACTGTGGAAAATTACTGTGAGTTAAGTGCTTTGAAAATGCTATATAAACCCTTGGCTTTGAGTGCTCTGGGTCCTTGTTGAAACCTCCTGCGTCGGGCAGACACTTGGACCCCAGCTAGCTGGAAATAAACCTCGCTGTGGGACTTGCATTATTGTGAGTGTCTTCTGTCTGTTTGAGAGGTGGTCGACTCCGGACCCTAACAATGTAAAGGGGAAGCCAGTACAGAAAGTTAGGAATCCAGTGTCTGTCCTATCCTGTGAATGCAAGAACTCAGAAGTTATGTTTTGGTAATTATGCAGGTAGAGTTATGAAGAGTTCCCATTCTCTGAAGGGAAAGAGACTTTCCATTTTGTATGATGATATTGTGATGAAAATAATGCAATTTGGTCTGACAAAATTTGAGTTTATCCTTTCAGAAATTATGTCTGTCACTTGCTGATGCTGCCAGGGAGTGGAAGGAATCAACTCTCTGAGACTTTCTATCTGTAGAGCTTAACAGAAGATCCACATGAATAGGTTCAGAACAAGCCTCCCCAAAGTGTGCTACTTTGTCACGTGGACTGTCTTGAGCTGAACGCAATCAAGACCCAGTGGGCTCAAGAGAAAATTCTGCTCCTTCCTTGACTACATAGAATTTAAACTGGAGGATCTTTAACAGTTTGTGAGTTTTTACCAGAGATAAATGTCATCTGAGTGGCCCCTCTGCATGGACGGGCAAAAATCTAATTACCAAACATCTGTTCTTAATGCCCTGTGAGTTGCCGTCCTCCCCCTTGAAGCCCCAGGCCATTCCTTAGCTCAGGATGGTATATGTATCTCATTTTACTTTTCTGTCTTTGAAACTGTAACTCTGGGTGGGATAATCCCAAGGCAAAATACCTCTGAAACTGAAATAGGTCAAAGGGAGAAATAAAGTTTAAGAAACCCATTTATTTCTTGCAAGCAGTCGTCACATCTCTCTCTTGACCAGGCTGCAGCAGCAGAGAGAGCTCCCCACAGCCTCTCTGGTCCAGATAAGCCCTGTATGCCCTAGCAATCACCTATTGATATGTAGATGTTCACTTCTCTCCACTCCTTGGAATACCTATTGATATGGAGATGGCTACTTCTACCTACCCCTTGGAAACACCTATTAATATGCAGATGCCCTAAAGCCAGGTGAGAGATTCTGGAAATATTACAATTTTACCCACAGAACCTCTCATAAATGTGTGGCTCCTGTGTGTATGAAATCAAATTTTATTTTCTCCCATTAGTCTGTCCTATGTCCATTTAATTCTTAGACCAGCCAAAAGAACCTTTGAAGAGTAGAGGAAACATTTTCTTCCCCAACACACAGAAGTTTCATCTCTGGGTCCCACAGGAGATGAACTAATTGATAGTGATAAGTTCATATAAAAATTTTAAAGGTGATCTTAAATACTTCAATGAATTTCCCCTTTTCCTTAGAAGGGTTTAGAAAGTTCTTAACTGGATTATGCAAACCTGATCTTGACCAAAGCTTAAAGCTATAAGGCCAGCAAGCTTGGTGGCCATATTCACTTATGTTGTAAGGCATTATGAAGGGATGTTGTCCAGAGAAAGGGGTATGTTTAGAAAGGAGCAATGGAGGGAAGGGAAGGGGACATAGGGAAGGTACAGGAGGAAGAGGACAAGCAGAACCAGGGGAAGAGGAGCTGAGGACAAAATCAATTTTGTTTTTTATGTACAAAGTTACATTTGTTTTTCTCCTCTGAAGCAGTCTTACATCAGTTTGACTATTGGTCAACCAAATAACTTATAAGGGAGGAAGGGGAAACTTTTCCATCCCTGCCGCATCAAACTTTATCGGAGAATGCCAGGTGTGGGGAAGACTCCACATGAGCAATCTAACTGCTGAAAGGATGGCGGTTTAGCAGGAGAAGCAAGGTGAAGCTTGGCTGATTTTGAGACTAGTCGGTCAAACAAAGACGGGTCTTCGGGAAAGAG